AGTCTAATGAACCTTTCGCATTCTCACATTAATGTCATGTCATCATACGCCTAGGCGGAAAACTTCAAGATATCAAACATCTTGTCAGCCAAAAAGAAATCAAGAAAGGAAACTTAACTGTAATATACACTGTATAGCTATACATGTAGATCTGATTTAGTCATTCAACACATCACTCAATGCTTGAAAGAGTACAGTACCGATATTCCGATACATTTACAGTACAACCTGGCTCCGCCCTCACTAACGGCCGTGCCGTAAAACATATTAAGCTACAGCTGGTTAAATGTGCCAAAACAGAAGTGAAATTTGCAGTGCTGCAATGTTATTTTGCTGACTGGGAGGACCCCTATTTAAATTTTGTTGTCTTATTCCCGAATAGTAACATCAAAAACAGCTTCATTTGTTTAAATATTTAGAAAATATACATACCTGTACTGCCATGCATATATCCTTCTCTATAGTTGAATTATCCTGGATAAAAACAATGATAAAACTATCACTGTCCTTCCATTTACTTCTGTTGCTATGGTACAATATGGCCGCCAGTGTATCGACTTCTTTACGACAACGCGTTGTCGTAATAGCTAGACATTACTTACATTATTCATTGCTGATTTTGTATCGGGTTAATGTATGTATATACAGAAGAATTGTATCGGTGTTTGCGTGTTATATTGAAATCAATCAGTATGACACAGAGGTAAAACAGTATTGATGTCGTTTAACTTTATGGTAGCACATGCGACTTCCTGTCAAACCTTGGTCTGCGGCGGTTTGTTTACATTTTACATTACACAACAAGAGCTACGCCTATATTACACTTTCAAAGGGTAGAAAGGTTTGTATATGCATATTCTAACGTTGTAAGTAGGTTTTCTGGTACATGATGGTGATTAACTTGTAGATGTTAAGCATCACGTGTCTCCATGTCCAGTACTGGCAGTAGTGATCTGACTGGGAACTCCCTTGACTTTTCAAGACGGTATCGTAATTGAATGGTATTCACCCGTACTTTCACTTTCCTGTAGTAAAATAAGTAACACATGGTTTGTGTTTGTGTGTAGTATTTTTTGCAGGTAAGCCTTTTATTGTACTCAAGTGTTGATAAAGAAATTGATCATTTAAACAGCATTTGAATACAAAATGTATTGACATCCTTTAGCTTACTGTTCAGTTTTCTTATACAAACTGAGTTCCATTTTGGTCAAAGACCGTTTTACAATTTCAATATTCAAGGTGACCTGATTGATCAACACTATATGTGTTTATCAGCTGGTAAAACATAAAGAAAGTCAATATTATTGACATCTTACGATCTGGGTAAGGGTTTGGAATTCTTGTGCCCTACTCCAGCTCCTGCATACATTGTTGAAATCAATGGCCTGTGAAGATGAAGCTATTAGAAATTCTGAGATTTCATAAGGTTACATTTAGACTGAAAACATAATACTGTCAATCATTCAGTTACACATTTAAACAAGCTAGCTATGATACATATGGTTGTTTGTGTGTGTGTGTATCAATCCTTTAATGGGATATAACTAATACCATGCAAGTGCCTCTACTATTGGTCCAGATTTTGCATACATTTAAGAGTATGCTATATATATATATTTTCTTTAGAGGACGTTTACTTCAAAAATAAGAGTAGGCTTGTAGGTGCTTAAGATGATGCTTACTTCAGAAATACATTTAAGAGCATATTTTCTCCAGAGGACACTAACTTCAGAAATAACAATAGGCTACAGTTCCTGTAGAGGATAGTAACTTAAAAAAAACAGAGTGTGCTACGATTGCTTCATAGGAAACCACTATCATACTTCAGAAGCAACTAAACAGTCTGAGTATTAAAAAGTGTTATACACATGAAAGCAACATCATACTTTGTATAATTCTGGTTATGATAAGATAGATAATTTTTCAGAGTTCAGTTGGAATTGAATCATGATTTACATCATTATATGTTAGTTCTAAAAGATCAGTTTTAACCAAATGTCTCAAGTTAGCGAAAACTTCAACTTCTTGTCTAGTTTAAATAACAAAAAAATAACAAAGCAGGTAAGCGATACAGGTCGGATGGGCATCATGGTTCTATTGACATTGTGCTATATATATATATTGATTATCCTTCAAATAATATATAAAAAATAAATGTTTAAAGAGTACCCAGTATTCTGTTTCTATTGACAATTGTCATGCTTGTGGCAATGAACTCAGCATCACTGCCTTTATCTTCAGCAACTTGATTATGATGCTGACCTGATAATGGTGTGGCTGGCACATGTTTACAGTGCATTTCTGAACATAAATCTGATTCCGACGACAAAATACTCACATTCACATTGATTTATATTTATGCTAACATATGAAATCATTACAACTACAAGCTGTGTATCTTGACAATCAGTATAATACAGAGACAGCAGAAGCTGGGAACTGCTAGTAAATTAGCTAGGCTTTGATATTCGGTTGATATTCGGGCAGATTACTAACCTTATAGAGTAATCGTTGTAACACATGAGAAAATCACATTAAATTAAATGCGGCCGAATCTTTTGAGAACATGCCGATTTGAAACTACCATCTTGTTTTATTATTAAACTGCATGTTTAACTGTTTTTAGTTCCATTCCCATCAGAGAGTTTCACTCACATTATAAGAGATGTTGTTATGTTTTTTCTATTTAAAAAAGACATCAATATTTATTTAAAACAATCAACATACTGTATGTGCGTGTACATGTATATAATGAAAGTGAGAAAATGTTGGAGAAATAATTCATGAAGAATTCAACCTGAGTGGATATTTTTCCAACATTTTACAATCCTGAGTTATATATACAGTATACAATGTACCACCACAATATACAAACATATGTTGATTATATCTATTCTGTTGTAATGCAATATCTTTTCAGGTCTATCTTAGTGCCCATACATTTATATTATGCAATTCAAGGTGACCTAGCTAGATTATCCAATTATTTAAATTAGACTGTTCTTTTGTGTTTACAAAAATTGTTATGTGATGCCTTTGTTTTCGATTCGCAACAAGCTGTAAATTTTGTATCATTTCTGATGGTGTGGGCAATTTTACTATTTTGACTGTTTAACTTGGATGTATTTAGAAAGAATAATGTATGCCTCATATTTATGATTTGTTACAACAATAGAAGACAATGCATCATGTCTGCTGCCTCAGCATGACCCTTCACCCTGAGCTAATTGAATGAAGTCATATGCCTTGTGAACGAAAGACACTGTCTGAAATCTTGTTTCTGAAAAATTCCATAAACTTTATTTACAGTTGCCATTTAGTTTCTCAATTCGGTAACAATAAACATTGATGTCTTATTTCATACCAGATGTTACACCATTTATTTTAAATGAAACCTTTATAAATACTTGATAGACTTGCAAACACTACACTTCAAACCAACTTAATGGTAAGTTTTGTGAAACATCCTTGACAAGTTTTAAGTGGATCTGCAGGTAAAACAGAAATTATTTTGTTTGATTGTTAGCAAATCTTAAATATATATACAAATGTAGAATAAAAACATACATTTTTTAGATCAACCAAATGTATATAAATAAAGGTCGGTGGTCGGGTGGTGCACTGGATATCACACTCTCCTTTCACAAAGGTGGCCAGGGTTTAATTCCATGACGGGACGTGAAAAGGTATGGGTTCACCTGCCTGACCAAGTGAATTTTCTCCGGGTACTCTGGTTTTCTCTTACATTAAGACCCCCAGCGCTTACATCCGGCCCAACAAGAGTGATATAATATAAGTAATAGCTTGTTTCATAATTGTTGTAAAATAAATGAAGTTTATATGTGTGTATACGTATATACTCTCACACGACGAAGGAATCCAGTCCCACAGCTTCTTTGTTTACATTCCCAATACAGGGACATTTTGGTCCATTATTGCTTATGCAGGGTTTATTAGAAAATAATACATGTGCATGTATCATCATCCAGCAATATGTGGTGAGTAACCAATGAAAAGTGTCATTATATCAAAGATGTGGTAGAATTATTTATTGTTCATGCTTACATATTCATTTTGATTTTTCTGTGATATATACAGGTGAGTAAACAGAATGAGAAAAAGTAAATTGGAGGTGCACCTGATAACAGGAGGTGGGGGGTACCCGGGCTATACCCTAGGCAAGCAGCTGATTGGTCGGGGCCACCAAGTCATTCTCTTGGACCTCAGGGAACCAAAATGGACACTGATGGAGGGCATGGCCTTTGTTAAGGTAACCACTTTGTTAATAAAGAGAGGTATATTTTAATCAGTATTTCATCTGAATATGATAAGTTACCTTTAAATGTCTTGTTTGGTAAAGAAGTTCATATAGCACAACCATTGAACTGATTGTGTGTGACGTTTCGATGACTAGTATGATATGTACTCTGTTACTTCCTTTACATGTCTTTTTTTAATCTGATAAAAAAAGGTTGGGAAATATAATATTCTTGCATTGATTTATGAGTAGCAGCATTTGGGGATCTCAAACAACACATCAGAAACAAGGTTTGTTACATTCAATATATTCATTGAATGAATACATGCATATATTGTACACAAATCTACACTGTATAGATGTATCACAGTCACATGTTAGAGAAATATACGTAGGACTCATCTTTTTGATTCGTGACCTTGTTGTTGAAGTTTTCGTTGAAAACACACTTTCATTATATTTGGAAAATTTTGTGATTTACAGAAATGATAATTTCACATGTTTTTTTTTTTTTAGTAATCCTTTTCCTTTTAGTAAAACTACCGGTAAACATAAGTTTAACCTGTCACCTGATCAATGATATAAAAAATGTTTGCTTACCTTTGATGAGTATGTACAAAGCTATGACACAGATACCTGGTACTGTTGACAAGGGCACTGTATACAGCTTACCAAGTTACATCTTACAGCATCTTCTTACTGTTACCTGATAAAAAGGAAAGCAAATGTTTAGATGTCAGTGTTGACAGGAAATCAACTGTTAGGATGTCAATGTATTGTTCATATGTCAGTATAGGAAGGGAAATAATGATCAGAGGTCAGTATAGGAAGGGAAATGTAATGTTCAGATGTCAATATAGAAAGGGAAATGTAATGTTCATATGTCAGTATAGGAAGGGAAATGTAATGTTCAGATATCAGTATAGGAAGGGAAATAATGATCAGAGGTCAGTATAGGAAGAGAAATGTAATGTTCAGATGTCAATATAGAAAGGGAAATGTAATGTGAAGATGTCAGTATAGGAAGGGAAATGTTATGTGAAGATGTCAGTATAGGAAGGGTAATATAATGTTTAGATGTCAGTATAGCGAGGGAAATGTAATGTGCAGATGTCAGTATAGGAAGGGAAATGTAATGTGCAGATGTCAGTATAGGAAAGGAAATGTAATGTTTAGATGTCAGTATATGAACTTTGAAGGGCAATGTAATGTTCAGATGTCAGTATAGGAAGGGAAATGTTATGTTCAGATGGCAGTATAGGAAGGGAAATGTAATGTTCAAATGTCAGTATAGGAAGGGAAATGTAATGTGCAGATGTCAGTATAGGAAGGGAAATGTAATTTTCAGATGTCAGTATAGACAATATAATGTTAATTACTATGCTTGAGTTAAATAGAGAGTATTTTAATGTCTACAAAATTCTCTGATTTAGAATGCTGTGATTGATTATTTCATCGTTCACTGATGCTGGGTATAAATGTAATTGTGTAGGTTTCTCTAGTTTATTACATTACTGTCCCTGCGATACATGACGTGTTGATGTAGCAAAATCAAGGTGGAAATACACAAAATACAAAACCGCCAAATATCAATAAAACACACAAAAATATAAAAGCAGATGGAGAAATATCAATAAAGCTTTCAGAACCAATAAACTGTAGGGTTATCAATCTAAGACGCACCATGTGAAAGTAAAATAATTCCATATAGAAGTGAGAAATATCGATACAAAGACATAACCTTATGTAATGTAAATGTCACTATCGTGGCTCTTCGTATATCGTATATCGGCTGAAGTAACAAATGTCTGATGTTGATTTTATCATCAACAGTGATTGCTTTATGTGGAATTGATCGCCAGTTTTTAGCATCAATTAATTGATTCTGTGTTTTATCCTAGAGGAAGATGTTTTTATCTGACTTCCTGTCGGGCTTGCTTACCAGACAAGTAACAGTGAGTGAATGCCTGTGGGCAGGGTACAGTTACAGTGGTCAAGGTACCATTACATCGGTCAAGATGCTGTTAGAGATAGCAAAGTTCAAGATCCATTTATATTAACACAACATCATTAGGACAGTATCTCGGACAGCATAAGTAAGACACGTTCTAGAACAAAGTTAGTGAGTTAGTATCAAGGACAACCTCAGTAAGACATTTTCTAGGACAACATCAATAAGACATCATCTGATCTGGGACAACCTCAGTATGATAGTTTATAGGACAACATTAGTAAGACATTTTCTAGAACAATATACAGCAGTAAGACATCATCTGGGACAACCTCAGTATGATAGTTTATAGGACAACATTAGTATGACAGTTGCAAGGACAACATCAATAAGACATCATCTGGGACAACCTCAGTATGACAGTATCTAGAACAACATTAGTATGACAGTTTCTGGGACAACATCAATAAGACATCATCTTGGACAACCTCAGTATGACAGTATTTAGAACAACATTAGTATGACAGTTTCTGGGACAACATCAATAAGACATCATCTGGGACAACCTCAGTATGACAGTATCTAGAACAACATGAGTATGACAGTTTTAAGGACAACATCAATAAGACATCATCTGGGACAACCTCAGTATGGCGGTATCTAGAACAACATGAGTATGACAGTTTCAAGGACAACATCAATAAGACATCATCTGGGACACCCTCAGTATGGCGGTATCTAGAACAACATGAGTATGCCTATTTCAAGGACAACATCAATAAGCCATCATCTGGGACAATCTCAGTATGATAGTTTATAGGACAACATTAGTATGACAGTTTCAAGGACAACATCAATAAGACATCATCTGGGACAACTTCAGTATGCAGTATCTAGGACAACATCAGTAGGACATTTTCTAGGACAACATAAGTAAGACATTTTCTAGGACAACATAAGTAAGACATCGTCTGGGACTTCAACATTATCAGTAAGACATGTAAAACATCATCTGTGACAATATCAGTTTGATTTTATATTTTGGACAACATTGGTAAGACAGTACTTAAGACAGCCTCAGTGAGACAGTTTTTAACTGGGTTGTATATTTGTTTGTAGGCCAGCATCACTAATCCTGATGAACTAGAGAGAGCATTTCTGGGTGTAGACTGTGTGTACCACATGGCATCATATGGCATGTCAGGCAGGGAACAGGTAAGTCACTTCATACATAAGTCTGTCCTTTTGTGAAGATTCACCTTGTAATTATTGGGACATCACTATAGAGACACAAACATCCATGAGTGCCCCTGGACAATTGTAAACATTTGATATATCAACCCACTTCCATTACTAATTCGATGATATTTTTCCTAAAAGGATCACATACACATGAGAAAAAAACCAAAGGAAGATTATTTTTTTCAGGAGGGATGTTTCCCAGATTGTTTGTCATGATGATGACGCAAAAATTAGACATCATTTGGTAGTGATAATGACATCAAAATAGGGACACAGAAAGTTATATCTGGTGCAGTCATAAAGATGACATCACAATGAAGCCATGTAAAGTCAAGAGCATCATATAATGCTAGTGACATCCTAATAAAATGAGGGAAATTAAATAATGATGTCAACTGAGTTGTGCAGGTGATCAGGGAGTACCAAACAAATGTCACCCTGGTAAAATACTAGCTGCTGACTTGGCTAGGGACAATTTCTCTTTAGCTCACCAGAGGTGCCAGGTTTTACCCAGTGGAGGCATTGAAAATAAAATGACTTCGAATTTGGGTGCACACATATTCTGCTGTGGTTACTGGATAATACATTTGTATTTCTAAATCATGCATTACAATAATCCTTTTCTGATGTTCTATATGTAGCGTGGGTTGATTTCTGACGTTCTATATGTAGCGTGGGTTGATTTCTGACGTTCTATATGTAGCGTGGGTTGATTTCTGATGCTCTATATGTAGTGTGGGTTGATTTCTGACGTTCTATATGTAGTGTGGGTTGATTTCTGACATTCTATATGTAGCGTGGGATGATTTCTGATGTTCTATGTGTAGCGTGGGTTGATTTCTGATGTTCTATATGGAGCGTGGGTTGATTTCTGATGTTCTATATGTAGCGTGGGTTGATTTCTGACGCTCTATATATAGCGTGGGTTGATTTCTGACGTTCTATATGGAGCGTGGGTTGATTTCTGACGTTCTATATGGAGCGTGGGATGATTTCTGACGTTCTATATATAGCGTGGGTTGATTTCTGACGTTCTATATGGAGCGTGGGTTGATTTCTGACGTTCTTTATGTAGCGTGGGTTGATTTCTGACGTTCTATATGTAGCGTGGGTTGATAAAGGACCATGTGATAAACACTATTCTCAACGTTCATTTGTGTCACTGGATTATGAACCTTCTGGAAAAGAAACAATTAAATTGTCACCAAGTTATAAATACCTTAACGTCTTACCTTTTTTGAAATTTGATTAGTGTGGAGAGCTTATTGATTCTTCCGAGGATTGGGAATGCTCGATCAGAGATTATCACCATAGAATCTATGTCCGATTCACGTAAGCATTGCTTCTCTAATGAAACCATTGTTGAGAGCTGAGTTAATATGAACAGTGATTACTGCTATAGGTCATAAATGTGAAATGTAAAAAATAGTCATTCGTGAACATGAATAGGGTGGTCACTGGTCAGGTGCTACGGGGGCTAGCATATGCACCTCTCACCAAAACAGCCTGGGTTTGATTCCCAAACTGGAAGTACTAATTTCAATTGCCTTACCGCATGGATCTCCTGTTGGTACTCTACCCCTGCATACTTTCATTCTCGCCAACATGAGTTATCAGTATCTAGTTTAAAAACCTCTGTCATAGTTGTTCCCTACCCACTAACAAATAAAGTTTAATTTGATAAATGGGTGAATTCTGACCTAAATGTCAAAAGAAAAAGGTGCTATTCATGCAAAATTTGACAATTTCTTACAATGTATGGAAACAGATTCAGGAAACAACTCTGCATGTGCAGGCCTTGTCCTTCTTCCTAAATGTTTGCCATTTATCAAACATACTGAACCATTCGCAAATGCCTATGAATTGGCCTCTACAATTATGTAGATTTGAGAAAGGTCTAGAATGCATATATTATGGCACCGTCTAATTCAGTTGAACTTTTTAACTCATACTGAAATTTATTTTGTACAACATTTGCTTGAAATTTGAAATTTCATAGAAAAATGATTTAAAGTGTTATACCTAATTGCTTTTGAAGCTAAACATGTGACCTATTTTGGTTCGATCAGATGACCGTACTGAATCATGAACCTCTGGGACTGATTAACTCATAGCTTCTTCCTGGTTTCCAACAAGCCGTACCATGTAGTTACTGCATCAGGTGACAAGTCATGACAGAGATGACAACAAATAATCTGTATTTAATGACTATTGATAAAAACAAATGTAAAAGTTTGTTTTAGATGTTCACAATAACGTAGGGCGATAACGAGCATGTTTGATTGGTACAAGTCAGCAGTTTTAGTCATGTGGTGTAATAGCAATATCAACGGCACAATAAACTAGTAACATAAACACTGTTTATCATCCAGTAGATCAATATGTGCCTATCGCTTTAATCTGTGTCGTGTGGAGGAGCGTTTCATGCATGGTCGCATTTTGTTGAGGATTCTGACTAGGGATTTCTAGTTATTTCCTAATTTCAAACGGTGGAACAAAGTCCTTTCACTAATACTTTTCGTTGGTGATTTAACAGAGTGGTTATGTGAATTCACTGTATTTGATGACATAAACATAAAATAGATATAATGGATGCATGTTCAAAAGCATTTTTTTTCATGGTTTGCATTTTGCAGTTGAGAGGAATATTTCCATCGCAGACCACTTCCTTCTTCTACATTAATTAGGTTGAGGTTTAAAACATTTCACTGTCTACAGAATCCTAGCTACAGATAGATGTTCCAAAAATATAGACTTATATGGGCCCAGTACCAGGATGGACCAATCCAGTAAGACAATATATAGGTGCAGTAAAACATTGTATCAATCCAGTAAGACAATGTGTTAGCCCAGTAAGAAATTGTATCAGTCCAGTAAGAAATTGTATCAGTCCAGTAAGACATTGTATCAGTCCAGTAAGACATTGTATCAGTCCAGTAAGACATTGTATCAGTCCAGTAAGACATTGTATCAGTCCAGTAAGACATTGTATCAGTCCAGTAAGACATTGTATCAGTCCAGTAAGACATTGTATCAGTCCAGTAAGACATTGTATCAGTCCAGTAAGACATTGTATCAGTCCAGTAAGACATTGTATCAGTCCAGTAAGACATTGTATCAGTCCAGTAAGACATTGTATCAGTCCAGTAAGACATTGTATCAGTCCAGTAAGACATTGTATCAGTCCAGTAAGACATTGTATCAGTCCAGTAAGACATTGTATCAGTCCAGTAAGACATTGTATCAGTCCAGTAAGACATTGTATCAGTCCAGTAAGACATTGTATCAGTCCAGTAAGACATTGTATCAATCCAGTAAGACAATGTGTTAGTCCAGTAAGAAATTGTATCAGTCCAGTAAGACATTGTATCAGTCCAGTAAGAAATTGTATCAGTCCAGTAAGACATTGTATCAGTCCAGTAAGAAATTGTATCAGTCCAGTAAGACATTGTATCAGTCCAGTAAGACATTGTATCAGTCCAGTAAGACATTGTATCAGTCCAGTAAGACATTGTATCAGTCCAGTAAGACATTGTATCAGTCCAGTAAGACATTGTATCAGTCCAGTAAGACATTGTATCAGTCCAGTAAGACATTGTATCAGTCCAGTAAGACATTGTATCAGTCCAGTAAGACATTGTATCAGTCCAGTAAGACATTGTATCAATCCAGTAAGACAATGTGTTAGCCCAGTAAGAAATTGTATCAGTCCAGTTAGACAATGTGCTAGTCCAGTAAGACATTGTATAAGTCCAGTAAGACATTGTATCATTCCAGTAAGACATTGTTACAGTCCAGTAAGACATTGTTACAGTCCAGTAAGACATTGTATCAATCCAGTAAGACATTGTATCAATCCAGTAAGACAATGTGTTAGCCCAGTAAGAAATTGTATCAGTCCAGTGAGAAATTGTATCAGTCTAGTAAGAAATTGTATCAGTCCAGTAAGACATTGTATCAGTCCAGTAAGACAATGTGTTAGTCCAGTAAGACATTGTATAAGTCCAGTAAGAAATTGTATCAGTCCAGTTAGACAATGTATCAATCCAGTGAGAAATTGCATCAGTCCAGTAAGACATTGTATCAGTCCAGAAAGACATTGTATCAGTCCAGTTAGACAATGTCCTAGTCCAGTAAGACATTGTATAAGTCCAGTAAGACATTGTATCAGTCCAGTAAGACATTGTATAAGTCCAGTAAGACATTGTATAAGTCCAGTTAGACAATATGCTAGTCCAGAAAGAAATTGTATCAGTCCAGTTAGACAATGTGCTAGTCCAGTAAGACATTGTATAAGTCCAGTAAGACATTGTATCAGTCAAGTAAGACATTGTATAAGACCAGTAAGAAATTGTATCTGTCCAATAAGAAATTGTATCAGTCCAGTTAGACAATGTGTTAGTCCAGTAAGAAATTGTATCAGGCCAGTAAGACATTGTATCAGTCCAGTAAGAAATTGTATCAGTCCAGTAAGACATTGTATCAGTCCAGTTAGACAATGTGCTAGTCCAGTAGGATATTGTATCAGTCCAGTAAGAAATTTATCAGTCCAGTAAGACATTGTATCAGTCCAGTTAGACAATGTGTTAGTCCAGTAAGCCATTGTATCAGTCTAGAAAGACACTGTATCAGTCCAGTATGACATTGTATCAGTCCAGTATGACATTGTATCAGTCCAGTATGACATTGTATCAGTCCAGTAAGAAATTTATCAGTCCAGTAAGACATTGCAGTAAGACATTGTATCAATCCAGTAAGACATTGTATCAGTTCAGTAAGACATTGTATAAGTTCAGTAAGACATTGTATCAGTCCAATAAGCCAATGTGTTAGTCCAGTAAGACATTGTATCAGTCCAATAAGACAATGTGTTAGTCCAGTAAGAAATTGTATCAGTCAAGTAAGAAACAAAGTGTTAGTCCAGTAAGACATTGTATCAGTCCAGTTAGACATTGTATCAGTCCAGTAAGAAA